TTTTGTTCTATTTTGTTATTCTCAAGGGACTGTGTCCCAGAATAAAGTTATTTTTCTATTCTATTCTATTCTAAAGTATGTTATTATTGAAGTTCTATTCAAATATTTACGTTTTATAAATCTTGAGGTTAAAGCATTGTTAACTTCAGTTAGATATTAATAGGGTGTATAAAAAAAAAAAAAAAAAAAAATGACCTTTTATAAAATTCAAGATTTCAAAGGACTTTAAATATTTTAATTCTATTTAATACTTACCAATACTTAATAATCCCTTTAGAGCATTCTCTAAGCTGATTTAATCCCATTCGACTTAAAAAAAAACCTCAGTTTAGTTATTTGTTTCAAATAAGAAACATGATAGTGTCCTACAAAATTATCGTAATTTTAAGGCATTACTGAAAAAAAAAAATTCACAGCCGCAGAAACAACTCGTGAAATTATTAAATATGAAGGATAAGATGTCCTTGACTAGTGCATAGCGTAGCGTTGTTTTGAAAAATTCAGCAGTGGAGATATGACATTGGAAAGGAAGAAGGGCTGCGGGCGACCATTAATGGATATTGATGAGGTTCTGCAGGAAGCTGTTAAGTAAAATCCGTCCACAAGTAACTTGCCAGGAAGGGTGGTGTGACAAAAGATACTGTTAGCCACCATCCACTCTTGATGGGGAAGGTGAAAAAGAGCAGTAGACTGGTTTTTCACGAACTTACTCCTCAGCAATTAGCTAAGAGATTAAAAATTTGTGAAAATTTATTGAAAAATCCTTCTGATATGATATTTTACCAGAAGGTTGTCACCTGTGATGAAAAGTGGGTTTACTGGTGAAATCCAAATACCCGTGAGCAATGGCTAGATCGCGGTCAAACTGCTTTTGAATTCCTAATAGTGATTCAATTTAATTAAAAATACTTGGTACTCAGTACTGAGAGTAGCATTTGCCCATCTTTGATGGCGGTAGATAACAATGTTCCATACTTTAAGTATTAATTGTCTTCTATATCAAAGAAATAATAATACAAATATTTGGTTGAAAAACTGTAATTTTTTTTTTTTTATACATCCTATTAGCATCATATGTATAGGAAAAACTGAAGTATAAATTGTAAAATATAGTAAACATGATAATTATCAACATCATTCAAATGTATTTTATAAAAAAAAAGTATGGATATTTTTCCATTACTAGTCAATCATAAAGTGAAAACATTGTATTCTTATGAGCACTGCCTTTTTTTATTAATATCTATATTTTATTGTAAGATCAACTGAATCAAATATTTCTCAGTATTTTACATTATTTATTATAACTGCAAATTTCTGAAAATGGAAAAAGTTGTACCTATGATATGTTACCTGTTTTTTTTTTTCCGTTTGGTGTATAAAATATGTAACATGTAAAAATAATTGTTTTTTTGACATTCACAAAAAAAAAATGTTCACTAATACATTATATACTTTTATATTTAAATATTTAGCTTTATATTTATTGCTCATTTTACAATGTTGGTAATATTTTTTTTTCTGAATACTAGTCAATAATAATAATGTTGATTGGTCAAATAAATGGTAAATAATAATAATATTTTTTTTTTTAAATTTCACACATAATTTATGTAGATAATAATAGCTCCTACTACTTTTTTTTTTCTAGAACATCGTGCCCATTTCATCTCCCCCCAATCAACATGGAAAGTCTGTGCTTATTCTCTTCACTATTCAGGTGTACCTTTCCTTTCGGAATTTATTCTATTCCATAAATTTCTTTCGGTTTCCTCAGATATTTTATGAGATTGAAAATTGCAGTGTTATTGTAGATGCAATTATCTTTTGTTTTAAAAATTACAGAATCATGTCGTGAGATGAGCCAACTGCAAAATGTTTGAATTTATTAATAATTCATATTAAATTTGTTGTTACAACAATCCACCAATGTGTTATACCTCTGTAGATTTCTGTATAGTTTTTTAACTTTGGTAATATTAAACTAAATTACTTTTATAATTAGATAAGAGTGAAAGGGACTGATCTGGTCTGGAGTCAAGGAGCTAGCTAAAGCTCGAGATGCGTCACAATACTTCACGATGGCCTTATTCCACTTAAAAAAACCAAGGAACTAATAATAATAATTAAAGTGAAGTTGGTTGGGCATTGAGGCCTGCAGAGGAGAAAATCCGAGAAAACCAACTTAGGTGGTTTGGACTTATCTCGCGAATGGCTGAAAACAGAATTGCCAGGGCTACCTACGAGGTCAAAGTGGAGGGAAGGAGGCCACAGGGAAGACCAAGAAAAAGATGGGTATAAGGAGTTAAAGAAGCCTTTGACAGGAGAGGAATGGACTGGAGTAGGAGAAGACAGCTGGCACAGGATAGAGATTCGTGGATCAGGCTCTATAAGAAGGAACCTCACACTGCTCAGCGGTAACAGAGGACTGGATTAAGTAAATAAGTAAAATTAGATAAGAAATGAAATGAAAAATGAATTAACAAAGAAATGTAAAGAGATAAAAAATGTAAATGTTGGATGTAGAATAAATGAGGTGACGTAGTTGCTAAAATTTTGTCTTAGTATGTTAAAAGGAAGTGAGATTGATATAGAATAAAATGTAAAACAGAGAAAAGGAATATGAAGTTATATAAAGAAAATAATAGATGCAAATAGAAAAAATTAAGATACTGTAAAATTTATCAAAACATACTGACCACATAAATGAGAGTTACAAAGTTAAAATTGTGTAAATTAAGATAATAAGATGTATTAGTAAATGTATCAATATACACAAAATAATAATAAACTGAACTATATAGTATAACTAAATATTTTGTATAGTAAGAAGGTATTCACTAAAAAACTGAAACTCGGGACTAAAGGCATCTTTACGTGTAGAGACTAGTAAAATAAATGATTCTGAAAAGAATTTGTCAGTGAAATTCAACAAATATGACTTGTATTTTGAACACAATTGTAAAACATACTTCATTTTCTCTCATAAAAGTCTGGATATTTTGAGCTGTTATTATTATATGTTATATATTATTATATGAGGTGTTATCATAATGTCTCTATTCACTTTGTGCTAGGAAGGCATCTAAGGAATAAATACCTCTCAAGGTCAACAAAATGACTGCTGTATAAGATATTGATCAGACCAGTGCTGACTTACAGCCTGGAGTCATGGGATCACAGCTTGGAGTCATGGGATCACAGCCGGATGAGCAAAGCTTACGTCTTTTAAAGAGAAGAATTCTGTAGCGCATTTGTGGTCCTAGGAGTATCGGTCAACATACCTCAGGAGGGTTAATCAAGAAGTATATGACCTGACATTGTGAAGCGTATTAAGGTGGGCTGACCATGTAACTTGAAAGTCAGAGGATGAAATCCTCAGAATAGTGATAAACGAGACCATTCGTCGTAAAGAAGGACCACGTCTTAGACCGAAGAATGGTTTAACGGAGTATCCTGGAGGTGAGAGACTGGAGAACTGTGTGTAGATAGACAGAAAGTATTGGAGTATGAAATAATACCATTGTCGTGTTGTGTTCTCTTCCCACCTTAGTGTTGCTGTCCTTTAAAATTATTTTCATGCAATTTCAATTTCAAGGTTGTTTATCGTATAGCCCTGGAGCCAAGGCCCGAAAAATTGACCTTATCCCAAGTGAAGTTTTGAATGTAAATTAAATCTCGTAGTGCCAGAAAAAAATGGACGAAACTAAAATTAAATTACTGGATCTTTTTAAGCCCCAGTTAGAGCCAATTCCGTCTAAATATGATTCTTTGATGAATTATTTATTCACAAGTGGTGTCAAAATTGTATTTTGATAAGAAATTCAATCTTGGTTGATTAATTAAGTAGTAAAATTAATTCTGTTTATTATTATATTTCAGCTAGTCAAGCAGCAGATGGAAGTAAAATAACAATGTTGGACCCAAATACCATACCAACAATCGATATTTCTGAAAAAAAAGAATCATTTTCAAAAAAAATTTCTTCTGTACCAAAATTCTACAATACTAATCGTAGACTATTGCAAAAAAAAAGGACCATCTCTGATATTTATCAAAATTTAAATCTATTCACGTCCAAGAGAGCAAGTAAGTATGATGAACTCGACAAAAAAGATGAAATAGAGAAGCAAATTTTAAAAATCAAACTGGAAAGGAAACAAGAAATGGTGCAAAAAATGAAATTAAAAGTTTTAATGGAAAAAGAAATGTCTTTAGTACGATTTGAGCAAGAAAAACAATTAATTTGTTTAAGATTAGAACAGGAAAAAGAATTAGCCTCTATAAAACTGGAGTATGAAAGACAGTTAAATTCTCTTAAAATAGAGCAAGAGAAAGTGAAGCTTATGACAGAAGAAAAGAAATTAAAACAAATATTAAAAGTCAAAGCTTTACTAAAATATTAATCTATTTTCTTAACCTCTTTCTATTTGATATTGTTTTCATATTTTTACAATTAAAAATATGTTTTAGGTTTATCGTATTTAATTAGAATCATTTTTTTCATGTTCCTCTACATCCTGTAATTAATCTTACATTAGAGGCTGTAACTCCATCGCAAAGTTATGTAAGCTGTCCATTTAATAATATTATAGCTTATATAAAAAACTTGAATTTTTTACTCTTCAAGGATTTTCACTGTAAGATACTTGGCATTTTGAGTTTTTTATTGGATGTTTTTAAATGTACAAAAATTTAATAAAAAAAAACATTATCATTACTATTGACATTTAAATCAAGTGATAAATCATCATAATCACAATTTAAATACTGAACATAGGCAAAACATCCAAATTTTGTAATGCTTTTCATTTTGTTTCTCAAATTTTAAATTATTTATTACTTGTCTAACTCATTAAAAATGCTAAGCTTCAAAATTTTAGTAGCTGTTTTGATTTTTTGAAATTTATAAAATATATAAAATCTTAAATAAATTAAATTTATATCAAATAAATAGATTTATTTTATTTTTTTCTATAATAATTTATTGCTTATTATAGGTTCCAAGGATAGTTGCTGTAGTGCTGAGAAGATCTGTCAATCTCCATACAGTAATTATACATCTTTTACACATGGGTTAAAAGAACATGTAGTAGTCCATCATACTGGTGAGAAGCCTCACAAATGTCCTCATTGTGACCGTAAATATGTTAAACCTCAACATTTGAAAAGACATATAATGTCTCGTCATGCAAGTGAAAAGCCTGATAAAGGTGCGTCTTGTGACTATAAATCAGGATATCCTGGAAATATTACACGACATTTCAAAATCCATGATACAGATGTAAAGCCTTATCAGTGTCCTCATTGTGACTATAAATCTACTTTTCGTCAACATTTAAGATATCACATAATGGCTCGTCATACAGGTGCAAAGCGTCACTACTGCCACCTATGTGACTTTAAATCTATATCATCTGATAAATTAAAAATACACACTATGGTTCATCATACAGAAGAAAAGCCTTATCAGTGTGCTCAATGTGACTCTAGATGTGTTACAGCTACAGAATTGAATATACATATCATAGTTTGTCATTCAGGCGAGAAGCCTCATAAATGTCCTGATTGTGATTATAAATGTTATACACCTACACAATTGAAGGGACATATCATGCTCCAACATACAGTTGAAAAGCCTCATAAATGTGCATATTGTGACTATGAATCAATATATCTTGGAAATATTACACGACATTTAAAAATCCATCATACAGATGTAAAGCCTCACCAGTGTCCTCATTGTGACTATAAATCAGCTACACTTGACGGTTTGAGAAAACATTTAATTGCTCGCCATAGAGTTCGGAAGCCTTATCAATGTCCCCATTGTGATCTTAAATATGCTAAATCTAAACATTTGAAAAGACATATAGTTGCTTGCCATACAGATGGGAAGCGTTATCAATGTCCCCATTGTGATGTCAAATATGTTAAATCTAAACATTTGAAAAGACATATAATTGCTTATCATACAGATCGGAAGATTCATCAATGTCCCCATTGCGATCTTAAATATGTTAAATCTAAACATTTGAAAAGACATATAATTGCTTGCCATACAGATGGGAAGCTTCATCAATGTCCCCATTGCGATCTTAAATATGTTAAATCTAAACATTTGAAAAGACATATAATTGCTTTCCATACAGATCGGAAACTTCATGAATGTCCCCATTGTGATGTTAAATATGTTAAATCTAAAAATTTGGAAAGACATATAATTGTTCGCCATACAGATCGGAAGTTTCGTCATTGTCCCAGTTTTGATCTTACCTTAAACATGTTTAACCTCAAGATTTGAAAAGACATAAGTGCCATCTCTGTGATTATAAATCAGTTAGGCTTCAACATTTGAAAAGACATATAAGGACTCGTCATGCAGGTGAAAAGCCTAATTGATGTTGTGATTGTGATTATAAATCTGTTACCTATCTAGAATTGAATAAACATATGATGGTAGGTCATAAAAGTGCAAATTCCCATCAATGCGATTATTGTGACTATCAGTATATTCAGGAACTATGATCATACTTAATCATCATCATTTTTAAATGACATATAAAAATCAATTATAGAGATAAAAAGCCTCATCACTGTCTCATTGTGACTATAAATCTCATAATTTGAAGACGCATGAAAGTCCATCAAGATAATAAAAAGTCTCATGAATGTTCTCGCTGTAGATCTCTTACCTATCAACCATTTTTTCACCCAATATTATTAAATGTTTAAATGATACCAAATGTTACATTAAAATAAAAGGTTATAAAATTAGTATTGTTATTATTTCCATTCTACAGAAAAAGTTTAGTTTTCTTCTTTAATTAATAATACAAAACTTTATAATTATCAAGTTAATTATTATCTGTAATAAAACTTGTATTATCTTAAAACATTTTAAATTAAATAATTAAATTTTTTTTTTTGTCTTCAATTCTTCATCCGCACCAGTCATGTTAGTGACAATTAGCAGATTTGTTGTTAGGTAGAAAATGGCATGATAGGCATGACAAAGAATGGAACCCAGCAGCACCTCTTTAGTACGTCAACTTTAGTGCTGGTCAATGGTTGGTTGTCTTAGGTCGGTATGTAAAGTCTTGTTGACATACCAGGGGGCTGCAGTTATTAGTCTTAAAATTTTAGATTAAAAAGATAGTTGTTTTTGTAAGTGACTCTTTTTAGCTGAACCGTAAATCTGTGAGGCGTATGTCCAAATGGGTTTGAGCAGGTAAGTGTATGTATTTAGTTTTTGTCTAATTTTCAGTTTTGATTTAGAAAACAGTGAGTATAATAGTTTCAATCGCTTGTTCAAATTATTTCTTTTCATTTAGATGTGTGGGCCCCAGGTCATCCTTCTATCAAATATTAGTCCGAGGTAGCTTATAGTGTCCGTCTGAGGAATTGGATTGTTGCTGATATAAACTGGTGGGCATGTGTTTCGTCGAAGCGTAAATGTTATGTGTTGTGATTTGTTATGATTCAGTCTAATTTTCCAAAGTGAATACCAATTTTGTAAATTTAGTATAATGAGTAAAGCTGTCGAATTGAGAAAATTTCTAAACCCTGTCGGACAGGGAAGGACCTGTCGAAAAGGGAAGACTGAAGAATGAAATAGTATGTACTAGGCAGTATAGTTTAGAGTTTAAAGAGAAGTCCCTTGTGCCAGACTTTGTCAAATGCCTGGGCAACATCCAGAAACACACCGGTAGCATATTGTTTTTGCTCCAGCCATGTAGTCAGTAACTCTTTAATTGGTGTTTAGTTGAATGAAATGTACAAAACCAAATTGATGGTCAGGTATTATTTGTTGGTCTGTCAGTATGTCAACCAGTCTTTTGTATATTAATTTTTTGAAATAAATCCCATAAAATTACCTTCACTCTTCATCGTAAACCTATGACTTCCTGTCCTACAGTATCCTTCAACAATAGCCCTCTTATCCCTATCGAACAAACTGATACTTATGATTCCACCTTGACAAACGATTCACTTGGAAGCCCCATACCAGACTGAAACGACTAGAAACCGCCTGACGTTTTCGACTACTAGAGCACTTACTAGACAAACACTCTACGCTTTCAATCAATTACAAACGACTCATACATATGACAATAATAAGACCTATTTGGACTTGCGGAATTAGCTTTGGGCTCCACTGAACCATCGAATTCCTCTCGTATCGAATCCTTACAATCCAAAATCCTTCGTAAAATCCTCAACGCTCCTTACTTTGTCACAAATAAAATCATCCATAAAGACCTTAATGTTGTATATGTTTCCGATTTGGCCCAATCCAGATACCTATCCTTCCATAACAAACTGCAGAACCATCTGAATCCTCTCGTTTCAAACCTTGCTTCCTATTCAATTCCTGATAACCCTCCAAGGTGTCTGAAAAGAAGATGGCCACGTGATCTCCTAATATAGACATATTATCAGAGTGCTACCAGTGGGTAGTTTCTCAACATGTGTTTCATGTCATTATATCCATGGGCGAATTTACTAGATGTATTTTTTTTTATACAGCTGTAAATATATAAATAAAAAAAAAAAAAAATAAAAAAAACCCTGAAAGACCCTGTATATTAAATATTTATTCAAGTGAAAGTTAAAAACCACTGATTCTCCTTAAACTTCGGCATAAATATTGAAACCAGTCTGTTCGTTATGCCCTCTGTTGTTAGGGATTGAGAATTGAAATCGATAGCTAAAACCTCTGTCTGAAAGACGTACGTATGTCACGAAATGTCAAGAATTTCGATCTCGTTCAGACCAAGTTGGCAACTAGAGGATTTTTTATCCTCAAACTCTTCATCACTTCTGCACCTGCTGTGAAATAATAGTTTACATTCAGCATAAAACATGTTGTTACTCTCGCACAATGCGGCTGCTGCATATCGGATGATAAGGCATACTGTTATATAGTAAATAGATCGTACTTACAATAACAAGATGGGTTGTTTTGATGCCTAAGACCAAAAATAGGTCTTAATCCTTCGCAGTCCCACAGCTCCTGATAGTTTATAAAAGTTCAATACCTTCACTTTTCTATGAATTGGGAGAAAATACAAAATGTCCATAATTTCTATTGAAAAACATAAAAAAAAAGAAGGTAAAAATCATAGTAATTTGAATGAAATAAAACAGTTAATAATACAAAGGTATGTTAACTGTCTCTGGCCAGACTTTTTTTGTTGTATACATGTAATATGTACAAAAAGTACAAGTGTACTTTTGTTTCCTAGTGTACTATATAATTCAATGATAGCAATGGTATGATACTTTATGATAGCAATTGAAATTAACATTAAAATGAAAAGAATTTCTCTGTATTTTGTCAAGTCAGACTGATGGGAACATTTTTTTTTTTTTTTTAATTTCAATCATTTTCCTTTTTTATTTTATTTCAGTTCCTTGAAGTTATGAGGAATAGGCATAAAGGTTATCAGGCATATTTATATTGTTGTGAAATGCTGTATGATTAATCTTAAAAACGTCCATTAAATTGAGCACTAATTCTTTTGAAAACTTAAATCTTGATTTGAATTCAGATTCATTATAAAAATCAAAAGAATGATTTCTTAGGCTGTTTAATTTGTTTTTAGGAAGCAGATTGATTCAATTTAATAAGCCTTCATATGATAATTGATAAGTAATTTGGCAATAATTACTTCCAACTAGCAACAATTGAATGTATTGTAGTAAATCAAAAATATACTATCTCAAACAAAACATCAAAAATAACTGCATACTGCAACATATTTACTTTACATAAAATAAACATTAACAGCAATAGTATAAAAATAGTTAGATCCAAAGGTCAATTGTATTCACTATGGCAGACACCCAATTATTGGTCTAAAAGAAAGATGTTGCTCTAGATGTTATATACCAAAATTTTTATAACATGAACTAGAAACTAACGATGGAGCACATCATTATTATTTTTAAGGTAATTACAAATTTATTGTAACAACAAAATTCTGACATGTAATGTAGCATGCACTATATTTTAACTCAAAATTTTTTTTAGCCTTGCATCTACAAGATCATTGGGATTGTAGTTCTGAAGATGGGAGTAAATATCCTGAAACGTAAACTTGTTAACATGTAACTTTGATAATAAAAGAAATATATTCAATTGTTGCTAATTGGAAGTAATTATTGCCAAAGAACTAAGAATATTATACAACTTCCCAAAAAAAAGAATAAGTGATAAGATTTATTAAGCCTCCATATGATAATAAACTTTTTTCACAAGAATGTGCTTCAGTTGAAATAATATTTGTAGTAGTCCTGAAAGACATAAGAAACAAAAACGTTACAGCAAATATTTGTTGGTTGTTAAAAGTAACCATGTGCAAGATAACACTTTAACATTGTTTAAATATTTGATCAAGGTTTAACGTTAGATTAGCTAATTATGATAGCTTAACATATTGTTAAGGCTAATAAACATTTGTGCAACGAAAATTCTGTTAATTAGTTATATACTAATCAAAATTTATAAAATTGAAATTAACAACGGTCAGCACAACGACCTAAGAAATTAAAGAACATTAAATAGTGTGTCAAATGAATTCCGGAACTTAATACTTTGGTTAAGTGATACAGTAAAAAATCACGATAAGTGAAACATATTATAAATGGCTCTGCTGCTTGAAAATGAGTTCTCTAAGACAAAAAAAATCATAGAATAAAAATGGTGAAGAACCAAGCTCCGTATCCACTGAGTTCAGACCTTTTTAATGTTGGTCAATTACTATTCTTAAATTTGGTAATTTCCAAAGGGCTGAACATTGAATGATAAAGATATTTATAATTTTCAATATTTTAATAGTATTGAGGTTTATTCTACTGAGTTGTTCTTATTTGGACTCTGCTATACAGAGTACAGATACCTTTCTCTCTTATCAGCAGGGAAAGAAAAAAAGTTTATACAGGTGAAAATCCTCATAAATGTGCTCATGGTGACTGTGAATCTGTTGCATCTCAAGAATTGAACAGATATATAATGATCCATTATAAATGTCAGAAGCCCCATCAATGTCCCCACTTTAACTATAATAATAATAAGGCTTAGCGAACCCGAAGGTTCGATGCCGACACCACCAATCGCTTGTTACACACCTCCCGCCACCGTTCGCCGTCCAAACCCAGTCCCTTCAGATCGGCTTTAATGCAATCTTCGCTTCGGTCTACCCCTCGGACGCTTACCATTCGGCACACCAAATATTAACCTTTTAGGAATTCTCTCGTTACTAAGCCCAACAACTTTACAAGCCCATTTGATTCGCCGCGATGAAATTACCTCAATTATATTACCCGGATACAGCTCACGCAATTCGGTGTTGTGTAACCGTCTGAACTCATCCTTCTTCGGTCCGAATATTCTACGCAATACTTTATTTTCAAAAACCTTAAGACGCTGCTCATCCCTTAATGTAAGCGGGCAAGTTTCGCATCCATAAAGAACTGTAGGCAAGATAATTGTTTTATAGATTCTAATTTTTAAGTTCCGGGACAAGAGGCGCGAACTATGTAGTTTTGTCACAGAAAAATAACAAGCATTTCCCGCCTTCAGTCTAACCTTAATCTCTTCTTCAATTTCGTTTTTTCTAGTAAACGTAGAACCTAGATACCTAAATTTATCTACCTGTTCAAACATATTACCATCTATATAGATATCACCAGTAGTATCGCCATTTTTGCAGCTAACCATATATTTTGTTTTATCCACATTTATTTCGAGTCCTAGTTCTTTACCGGCTTTCATTAACG